TCACAAACTTTATGTGATTTATGTCTTAATTTGTGCCACAATTAGGACATACTGTTAAGAGACGCCGAAATCGCCTTAACTCTGGGCGCGGAAAACATGAGTCAAACCCCGTTTTTGGTAACAAAAACTAACGACAATTAACGCAATAATTAACAGACAAATTAACCACAAATTTTGCATTTCAATTGACCCGCAGCTGAAAGGCGCCCGATTTGGGGTGAAATTCTCGCAGACACCAGTCGTAAGTCTAAACTAACCTTTAATTACAGTATAAAACAGTAGTTATAAGTTATAACTTATAACACAAATTAATTAACAGCTGGAGTGCGGACTCTGGGAGGGACTGAAGGACCACAACGTAAACATGCGAATGGGAGAGACGGCCGAAAAGTTGGGCAAAAAGTGTGGCATCAGTCGCGAGGACGCGGATCGGGTGGCCCTCCGGTCGCAGCAACGGTGGGCCGACGCCCACAAGAGGGGCGTATTCAAGGACGAGATCGTTGGAGTGCCCATCAAAGTGAAGGGCAAAGAAGTGCTGTTCAACACCGACGAGCACCCGAAGCCCAACACCACTGCCGAGCAATTGGCCAAATTGGCCTCTGTTTTTGAACGCAACGGCACCGTTACGGCCGGCAACGCGTCCGGCGTTAACGACGGCGCCGGTGCTATAGTGTTGGCCTCTGAGGAGGCACTGACCAAACATAATCTCAAACCGTTGGCCCGTATTGTGGGCTACAGTAGCGTCGGTGTCGACCCAACTATTATGGGTATGAATTGGCTGTTTTGTTAGACTAGTTTTTCCAACTTTTAACACATGTTTTTTTTGTGGGACACAGGCATCGGTCCGGTGCCGGCCATACAGGCGGTGCTCAAAAAGACTGGACTCACTCTCAACGATATCGACGTGATTGAAGTGAACGAAGCGTTTGCCACACAGTTTGCCGCGTGTGAGAAGGAGTTGGGTTTAGATCCGGCAAAGACTAACGTTAACGGAGGGGCCGTCGCTCTCGGGCACCGTATGTCAC